GGCCGCCGTGGACGCGGGCGCTGAGCGGGCCCGGGGGGGCGGGAGGCGGGTGCGAGGCGGCCCCTCCTCGTCGCGAACTCTCGGTGACCTTGGCCGAGTCACTCCGTCTCCCTGAGCCGGCGTCTGTAAAGTGCGAATTACAAGTCCTGCCTGCTAGCTGGGGTGGTTTTGAGGCTCAGTGGCAGGACCCCCGAGGGGTACCTGGGGTACCGGGCAATTCCCCGGGGACCACCCCTTCGGTGAGGGAGAGGGGGCTTCCTCGGATAGCATTTTGTTACAAGCTTTGGGGAAGAGCTCTCTGTATATTTTTAAAACTCCAGAGGATCATGGAGTAGTTGCAAAACTTTCGTTTAACACAATTGAGGCTCGCTTTGCACAGCTGTTACTGGGATGCTCATGCTCTGGTCTGAGATGGCTCTGTGAAGCTTCTGAGGATGGTGTGAAGTTGTAGAGATCCTTAGCTTTGGAAGAATTAATATTTGTGATTCCTCATTGTTCGCCAAAACCCGTCCTGCCCACGTGGGAAATTGTGGCGCTGGCCAGGCAAGTTTAATGTCTGTCCATGTGAGGCCTTGATGAATAGTGGAGTTCCTCAGCTTTCTAGTGAACCAAATTTTATAGCTTGAGGATGGAGGTGGTGCCATAGCTTTCTGGGGGATCTCAGGCACCCTGTCTATGTGGGCAAGGGTCTGCAGTGCAATGGATACTCAGATAGAAGAATATTAGTTGTTCTAGGTTGGAAAAAATTTAGAGCATTTGAATTGACTTAAACTGAAACTTTTTACTGCAGGTGACTAGCATGCAGATAACCATTCTCTGACCTGCAGCCCCTCATCTGACATGGCCCACCGTGGTGGGGAGAGGGACTTCCAGACTTCAGCGCGGCGCATGGGCACCTCGCTGCTCTTCCAGCTTTCAGTGCATGAGCGGGAGCTGGACCTGGTGTTTCTGGATCACAGCTATGCCAAGCCATGGAGTGCCCACCCAGATGCCAGTAGTGCCCGCCCCACCCGCATGCTCTTTGTTACTCCCCGGAGGCAACACGAAAGTCCCATGTGAGTTTGGGCTTCTCTCTTAAGGGCTGACGTTGCCCTAACTGGGCAGTGATCAGATGGTGAGGATTAGAGAGGATTTTATTGTGGGAGATTGTACCAGGGGCTCAGATGTTTAATTCAAGCATCTCTGTTAAGCAGCTTGAGGATATCAGGCCTATATGTGGACATCTGCATTCAAGACATCTAATGAGTTAGGAAAGCAAGATGTTCAAAGGAAAGCAAACAGCCTATTGCACTTAGATAATAGCACTTGTGTGGAAAGAGGAATTGGAGAGGGTTATTTAAACTGTGAAGAAAAAGCTGGGAGAGTTGATTTTTAAAAACTACCACACAGGATTGGACTCACTCCTTTTAGTCCAGTGTTCTGGCTCCAACACTGGCAACAATAACCTTTTAATGGTAATTCAGTTTGCTTTTCCTGGCTTCACCTGCAAAGTTTAGGAGCATGTATCTGACACTTTGCTTTCTCTTTTAACTTAAACAAACCTGTCACCAAGGGTTGATCCAATTCCTTCTAAGGTCTGGTTATATTTTCAGCCTGCCTACTTTTCAGGGTAAGGAATTTTTTCATGAATTTACCACATAATATGCAATGCAATTACGTTTGCTAAAACTTGTTTAGCAATTTTTTTGAGCTTTAAGATGTTCTGATTACTTTTATTAAAATCGATATATTCTGTTTTGAAAATCAAATCACACCTTTAATAATTTCATGAACTTTTTTGGGAAGAGGGTTTTTTTGTTTTGCTTTGTTTTAATCTAACCTGATGTTTAATATTTCTTTTAGTTCAGGTTTGGGGTTTATTGGAGAATAGAGATTTTGTGTTTTGCTTCTTTAGATCCCCACTGAGCCTTAATGAGATAGAAGTGCTGTGATGTGTGTGTTTTAAACACGGGTATAATAGTGGTTTTTATTTCATTTCCCAATGAGGGCAGCATTTTGTTGGCTTTTTTTGGTTGTACAGTGCACAGGCTCTGTGACTTTAGGAAATAATCCAGCATAATCTTGATGCCTTTGGTTTAGAGCATAAATGAAGAGCTCCTTTAAACAGAATTTGGAGGGGTTTTTTCTATTAGTTATGTGATAGCTTCTTGCAAATATAGAAACTCCTGCGTTCATATCTCATGCTATTTTCCTAAAATGAGATTCTGTGGACTTGGACATTTCAGTACTCAGAACATTATTTTCTCTTATAGACTGACTCCATGTATAGGCCCTGAAGTGGGAGTTTGGTGTGTTCTAGGAACTCTTTTTAGGCCATTGGGTTTGGAATATTGTTGCAGTTGGGGTGTTAAGTGGGAGCTGGGGGAGAAGTCAACAGAGGCTCCCTCATGTAGGAATTTGATTTTAAGAAGTCAAATTGGTAAGAATTTGTTAAGTCATTGAAAGATTTTAAGCTACAGATTGGATGTATATTTGAAAAAGATCGCTTTGAATTTCTGTTGAATGGATTGTAGTGCAGGAGTGGAATAGAAAAGGTCTGCTAGGAGGCCACTGCAGTAGTGGGGCCAGAGGTCATGGTATCCCGATGGGGCAGGAATAGTACAGGCAGAGACAGATGGATGGCCTTGAGGTGTATTTCATGTAGGTAGAGCCAACATGACCTGCTGTGATGAGTTGGAAAGAGCGACCAGGAAAGAGGGAAAAGGTGAAATTAGGATGACTTATATTTCTGGCTTGAGCAGCTGGGTGGTGCCATGAGTTGGGGACGGCTGGGGGAGGACAGGTCTGGGATGGTGAAATTGAGAATCCTCTTTTAGGCATACAGGTCCAAGTACCTAGCCCACTGTCTGGTCCACAGAAGATAATCAGCTCTTTCTCCCACCACCACATCTAGCTGCATATTATTTCACTTCATTTCATAATGACGTAATTATTCCAGCCATTGGGAATGGAACCAATAACGTCACTGAGGTCAAAAAGTTAAGGTGTGTTTGTTAGACAGCCAGTAGACCAGTTTGATCAGCATCGTTTTTTGGGTGACCAATTTGGTGCAGTGAAGGACCCTCGTGACACTAGGATTTCATCAGCATTTTAAAATATGAAAGGTTCTTCGGGTATTCTTTTCTGTTTGTTTATGTTCTAGGCTCCTTACACAGTGAGTAAGCGAAGGCGTCTGCACTCCAGGTGATCTGTCTTAGACAGTCACAGGCTTTTACAGCATGTAATTAACTGCCAGTTGACTTGCTAAGGAAAGGAAAAGTTTGTATGAATAATTTAAAACTCTAGACCAACACTGTCCCACAGAACTCTCTGTGGTGATAGAAATGTTCTGTCTGTCTGTCCAGTGTGGTAGCGTTAGGCAGATATGTCTGTTAAGTGCTTGAAATGTGGCTAGTGCAACTGAGGAACTGAGTTTTTAATTTTGTTTAATTTTTTTAATTTAAATATTTGCATGTGACTCATAGCTATTGTATTGGAAAGCACATCTAAGCAATCAGCTATTTGCCTATGGAATATATTTGTCTTTTTAAAAAAATAGCTGTTTTTCATTTTTCGCAAAGGCTCGTTTTAAAACAATGTTGTGTTCCTCCAGCGTGTATCAGCCGCATGTCAGAGGGCAGAGATCTAGACAAGTGTGGGAAAGATGACTTTGGATCATATTTTCTTGTGGATATAATGTGCTTTAAGCATTCTTTAAAGCTGATTGTATCCAAAAGTTTTTTTTGGATACCAGATGATCATTAAATACCTGTGTGGTGTGAAGTACATGTGTCTGGTCCTATTTCCTCACCTGTTCACAGTGAGTCGGACGTCCCAATAGACGTGGAGACAATCACATCGACCCCTGTGCCACTGTATGACAATCAGAAGGCACGCAGCGTGATGAACGAGTGTGAGCGGCACGTCATCTTCGCCAGGACCGATGCGGATGCCCCTCCCCCGCCAGAGGACTGGGAGGAGCACGTCAACAGGTGGGCTGCTTCTCCCGAGGACTGGTCACTGCAGGGTTACTGGTCACCGCGCTGTAAATATTTCGTATCATCATCTTCACTGAAACATTTATTAGGAGCTTATTTCATCTGCAGCCACATGAGCCAGAATGTTCTCCTAACTCTCAGCTCACTGTGCAGTGAGCTCCTCATGAGGAGGGCTTGCGTCTCAGCCATCTTTGCATCCCTGACACCTAGGACACTGCCTGGCACATAGTAGGCATGTAATAAATGTTGATCAAATAAATGAATTAAATCTGATAGGTATGACTAGTTCTGTAGCTTATGTAGTACACGTTATGATATGGGAGTTACCTAGACTACCAAAATAACCTCATTAAAATAAATGTCCATTTGTATGATAGTATTTGCATGGTCTATAACTAGGGTAGGGAAAATGTTTTGGAGTCGTGTGAAGAGCTAACAGGTGTTTGATTTGAGTGGCTTTTAAAAATAGATTTGTAGTCTGTGGTTTTGGGGGAACACTTCAGTCCATTTTCATTGAGTTTGCTGGCTAGTTTTGTTCCTATGCATCCTGCTGGCCCTGGGGACTCAACACTCCTTTTTAGGTCATTTGTCATTGTTCATTTGGGATACCTTTATTTATCTTTTACTTACTGCATAAAACTTAATGAAGACAAAATTTACATATCATATAGTTCACTTATTTAATGTGAACAGTCAGTGGTTTTTAGTATATTCATCACTGCAGTCAATTTGATGAACATTTTCCTTACCCCCAAAAGAGACTGTGCACCCATTAACAGTCACTTCTCATTTCCTCCCAACCCCTCCAACCCCTAGCAACCACCAGTCTACTTTCTGTCTCTCTAAACTTGCCTCTTCTGAACATTTCGTATAGATGAAGTCATATAGGATGTGGTCTTTTTGTGTCTGGCTTCTTTCATTTAGCATAACGTTTTCACAATTCATTCATGTTGAAGCATGTTAGTAAATGATACTCCATTGTATGGATATATCACATTTTGTTTATCCTTTCATCTGTTGGTGGATATTCGGGTTGCTGGCATTTTTGGCTATTATGAATAATGTTGCTACAAATATTCATGTACTTGCTTTTGTGTGGACATATATTTTTGTTTCTCGCATATATACCTAGGAGTGGAATTGCCAGGTCATATGATAACTGTTTAACTTGTGAGAAGTTTTCAGATTGTTTTCCAAAAGGACTACATCAGTTTACATTCCCAGCAGCAACGTGTGAGAGTTCCAGTCTCTCCAAATCTTTGCCAACACTTGTTTCTAATCTTTTTTTTAATGACCCTTCTAGTGGGTGTGAAGTGACATCTCATGGTTTTTTAATTTGCATTTCCCTGATGGCTCTCTCTGTATGTATTTATCTACTATCTGTAAGGGAGTATTAAAATCTTTACATCAGGAGTTGATAAGTGGTAAACTTGCCATAATGTTGGAGCGCTCTTATTTTATAATAATGGAAGAAAAAGTGGTAATTTGGTAGGAAGAAGGGTAGGAAAGTTCGAGGCTATTGGCCTGAGTTGTGAGTCTGGTTGGAGCAGGGAATGAGATTGAGCTGGTGTGCTTGGGTGATCAGGTTGGTGGCTGTTGAAGGAGGAGCAGTTTTGCCTTTGGTTGAAGAGCTTATAAAGAAGTCATTTGGGGTCTTGAACTGGAATTCATGTTGTGCCCCAAGAAGGGGAAATGCTCTCTAGAGCTTCACATAGAGAGGAAAACTGCTGTGAAAGAAGATCACTACTGGAATGGTAGTGGAGTCAATTCAGCAGAACAGTTTATCACTATTGTTACAGTTCATAATAATAAAAATAGTGAAAATGGTAGTAAGGGAAAGAACTACCATTTGTTGAGTGCTTTCTAGGTGCCAGGCATTGTGCCAAGCGCTTCATATGCATTGTCTCTTTTAAACCTTGCAGCTTTCCTGGGCATATCCCTTCTTCCTGTGTATTGTACGAATGAAAAAACTGAGTTCAGGGAGTTAAAGAAACCTTAGTTAGGAAATAGTGGAGCAGAGATTTGTTCAAAGCAAGCAGTCTGACTCTGGAGCCCAGTGATCTCAACTACAATACCTTCTCTTTAAGGGCAGTGAGGAGAGAGGCCAGCTAGTAGTGGCTGAACAAGGTGGCCTCACATGTGTCCTTTATGGTGGTGTTGGTTGCCTTGTCCTCAGTTTGCAGTTTCAGAAACTACGTGGGAGAACTGCATGAATTTTTCTGTCAGTTCACCCATGGTCATAATCAAGAGGATTTGGGGGACTCTTCATGCTTCCCAAAGTCATCAGAGACTTAATAATACATATGAATACCAGTTTCTTAGTTTACAAGGAGGGATATGGGCAGATGAGACACTGGGGTGGCCTGGCCCAGAGCGCTGACTCAGTAGGAGAGTCTGGGAAGCCACTGTGTTCCAGAAGTGGATGGCGAGGGGAGAGCCTGCACAGGAGGCGCCCTCCTTCAGCAAGGTAGCTGGACACACCCATCCTTCCTCAACAAGAAGAGCCCACAGTCTAGGCCAGGGCACACCTCCACCTGCCTAGTCCTGCAGAGAAGCACTGACAGATTCTTACCTTTGGCTTGTCTTTCCCCATGTGGACCTCCATCCTTCTGTTATGACATTGCCACAGATTGATATGATTAATTAGCGCTCAGTTTATCTCAGATTATTTGTTTTTTAGTGTCTGATGAGATTTTGGAGGCGTCCTTCTCTCATTAGCAACAGGCTTACAAACCAGCTCTTCAGGTAGGTCACTTTTGCACACAGCTAATTTCATTATTTAACGGTATTTATTGGCTTCAATTTCAGAGGTCACCGTTTTATGACCTTGCTGCAAATTCTGGATCTGTAGCCTGTTTGGAGATTGCAGTTAGTTCCCTCTGCTCAGATTATAATCATCTTGTTGCCATTCTTTCCCTTGACTTGATTGTTAAATTGCTGCTTCTTTTCTTCCTCTATAAAATCATGTAAAATTATAGTTTCCCACATCAAGAACTCATGGACTATAGGACAGCTCCCTAGAAATCTGTTTTTCCTCAGAGAGATTACTGATCTCTGTATCAATGGAGTCAGAAAGTTAATTTTGTTTTTTAGTACCCTGTTTCCCCCACTTGAATTATTTTAGCAACTGCCTTCAGATAACTCTCTGTATTTAGAAAATGAAGCCCCCTAACCCCTGCAGCTGACTCTAGTTGTGCCTGATATTTCATGAAACAGTTTAAATATTTTTCTCTGCTTGATTTAATTTTCTAGATCAGGGGTTGGCAAACTATGGCCTGTGTGCCAAATCTGGCCCATTACTTGTTTTTATATGGCCTGTGAGCTAAGAATGGTTTTTACATTTTCAAGTGGCTGAAAAAAAAATCAAAAGAAGACACGTGAAATTCAGATTTCAGTGTCCATAAATACAGTTTTAGTGGAACACAGACATGCCCACTCATTTAGATATTGTCTATAGCTGCTTTTGCACTATAGCTGTGGAGTTGGCTAGTTGTGACAGAAACCATGTGGCCCTCAAACTCTAAAATACTTACTATCCAATCCGTTACAGAAGTTTGCCGACCTCTGGTCTTGATTATGTCCTTGTGTCTGCATGTCAAAGTCATGTGACTTGGAGAACCTTTGAAAATGACTTACATTTGCTGGTGGAGTAACGTTGCCCCAAAGAGTTTGGAGCAGCTTTTTTCCCCCCAGATGTTTGTCAAGTGTCCAGTTTAATTAGATGCACGGCTTTTGAAAGACATTTTGGAAAGTACTCCTGACATAGGATACTTTGGGGCATTGCTCAAATGGGTTTTAGGATGTTGCCAACATTTCAGTAAAAGAATCTAGTGTCCTGAAGCAGGTTGTCTTATCTTAGAAATCAGAATTCTGAATTCAATTAAAAAAATTCTCCTTTTCCAAATTTGTTCTAATTATAGCTCTCAGTATTGTATGTATCTTTGTGTTAATCTTAGATGGGTGTTTGAAATTTTGAGTTCAAGGTCTTTGAGTTGTTTATTTTCCCTCCCTCTCCCTTCCTCTCTCCTTCCCTCTCTTTCCCTCTCTCTCCTTCATTCCTCTCTTCCTTTCTCCTGGTGTTTAAGCAGAGAATTTTGTAATCTGAAAAAGTAAGTGTGACCTATTTCATCTCTCCGATGTCTCTCTCTGCTTGACTTCCTATTAGGCATTTTAATACGGAGTTAGTATCAGAGAAAGAATTACCTTTGAAAATATCAGGCTTTTCTAGGACCAGTGTGACTTTTTGGCTGTTTTGGATAAGATGAGCCAGAAGTCAGAACATCATTCAGGTTCAGTGGGAGCATGGAGAACATAGGATGGATCTGATCTCATCCAGGCAGTGGAGAGAAGGCATTTTTGCACTCATGAAAATTGAATAGGTTGCGGTGGGGGGAGCGTGTTGACTCACCACAGTTCCCATCAGCTATTTGACTGTTTAGACTTGTATTTAAAATTGTCTCCTGTTTTTAAATTTTTCCTTAATTATATCTTTTGCATGCTCTTTATCTTAATCTTGGGTTAGATCATTTTTTTCTGCCCACTTAATTCTCCAGCCTCCCACGAAGCTGACAAAATATAGAGAACATATTTTAATTCTTGAAATCACTTCGTTATATATCCAGCAACAATCCTAAGAACTTTTTCTGGGGATTTTAGACTCTCAGCATTGTGGTTTTTGAGTTTAATTTCAGCTGTCATTGGTGTATGGTAGTAATTTCTAAATAGCTTTCTAGTCCCCCTCCCATTTTGTTCACATCATTTTCCTTGCTCCCATCATTTTGGGTTTCAGAATAAATATAGAGTAAGAAAAACAGAGGAAACATCCTGTTTTATAATAAAGAACAGGATAATTGTTGAAATGCTGTTGATACCTCATAAATAAGAATTATACCTCATCCTCAGTCCTTGGAATTAGTGTTTGCCACATGGTCTGTAGGCTTTGAGAAAGCTCAAGAGATTGTTGAACATGAAGAAATTGTATTCGTTGCTTAACCTGTTTGATTATCACTGAGCATCGTTGCTGGGGATAAGGCCGCAGTGTAATACCACTTTCAAGATGTCTTTATACATATTTTCACAGAACTGGAAATTCTAAAATTTTAACACAAATCTTTCACTTCCACTTCAAGAGATTTACCCTGCAGAGATACTTGCATGACCATGTAAAGATACAGATAGCTGTATGCACGTGTGTTTTGGGAAAAGGAGGGGTGGTCACTGTGACTGTTTATAATTGTAATGAAGGGACACAGCCTAAATGTCCACCAGTAGGGTAGAACCAGTCATTAAAAGCAAAGAGGTTTATTAATACAGAAATATCTATGTACCTCCAGAGAGCTTTCCAAGAATCATTGTACATTAAGAGAGATGCTACTCATGTTAATGTGATATATATTTAAATAATATGAAGGAAAATGAGATTATGAACCAATGGGCTGGAGATACTGGTTCCCACAAACCTTCCTGGTCCCAGGGTAACCAGAGTCCCAACTTTGAGTAAAAGTGTCCACTCCCCTGTCTCCCAAGTTCAAAATCTCTCTAAATATCCAACCACAACAAAAACTGACTAGATCCTGATGAGGTTAGCAGAAGTTAAGCCAAGAGAGCGATGGGAAAGTAAGTCAAAGGACAATTCCAAAAAACCTAAGACTGCTTCTAGTACCCCACAAGGGGATTATAAAAGGATGAGAGGCTTTGGAGGTTGAGAAGGGGTTTAGCTGTGGCAGTGAAAGTTGCCAGAGGCAGAGGGCACTTCTGAAGAACTGGGCTGCTCTCATAGAGCTTAGGCTGCCATCAGTAATCATAGCTCACCTGAGATTGTTTTATTGCTAGAGGGAACCTTAGCGCTCATCTAGGCCCTGTCTTTCACAGTCGAGGAGACTGAGGGCACACAGCCAGCTCCTGGCTCATAGCGTTCTGGCCTGTGACTGTGGTAAGTTGTAACACTGGAGATGTGGTAGGTAGAGACTTTATTTTACAGAAGGAAAGGAAGTTGGACCATTATTTTCCTCCTTTCTGGAGGGTTTTTCCTCTTTCCAAGACAGTGGGATAACTGTACAATTTGAATAAGAAAGGGTAATTTGTCCTCCATCTGCATACCTACTGGGCCATGTTATTGGTGTTCTTAGAGAGGTGACCTATAGAAAAGAGGGAATCTGGTTGGTGGGCCATGATGGGAAGGATGCTAGTCTGTTATAAAGAGAAATAGAGATTATTGAAGTTGTTTGAAGCAGCTTCCCTGCAATTCGAGCACCCTGGTATGGTGACAGCTCAATTTATAGCTGAGCCTAAGTCCCATTTTGAGTTTGTTCCCCTGCTGCCCAGCACCTGTGCACTTAATGTAGTAGGGAGTGTGACGGTTCAAATTTGTGCTCAGCTGTTTACAGGTCTTAGAAAGTAGTGTGCACATAATTCATCCGTTTATTTATTCAGCAGACGTTCAAGTCCCTACTCTGTGTTAGACTTTGCTTTATGTGTTGGGAATAGCACTGAAACAGACAGACAAAAATCTCTGCCATCTTGGCCTTTACATTCTGGCAGAGGGAGACAGACCAAACAAATAAATAAAATGGATAGAATGTGAGGTGATGTGGCTAGAAAGGGTGATAGGGAATGCCGGGGTGGGAGTGAGGTGTTGGCAGTTTTAAATAGGGTGAGTCAGGGGAAGCCTCAGTGGAAGGTGACATTTGACAGACGACTTGGAGATTGGAGAGGGAGCCAGCTAGTGTTTCAGGCAGGGAGTGGATGGCTAGGGCCCAGTCTGTGATGTGGGAGCACGCTGGGTGTGCATGGGGGTTAGGGCGGGGCAGTGTGGTGAAGCACAGTGAGCTGGGGGCAGTTATGGACAGTGAGGTTGCCCAGGTGGGGGTCCAGACAGCCTATTGCAAGGACTTTGGCATTCAGCCGATTGAAATGGGGCCATTAAAGGGCTTTGAGCGGAGTGACATGATCTCACTTAGGTTTTTTCATTGATTTTTTTCCCAAAATTGATTTTCCAAATTGGATTTCCAAAAAGTTGTACAAATTTATATTTTCATCAACAAAGTTTGGAGGGACCTATCTTCTTACATCCTCACAATACAAAGTATTATTGAACTTCTTAATTTTTGCCCATTTGATAGGTAAAAAGTAATATTATTTTAACTTACATGTTTGGTTTTGAAGGGGATTCACTATACATTTTTCCTAAACTTTCTTTTCATGTTCTTTGCCCAGTGTTTTTGTTTTGAGTATTTTGTCTTTTTCTTAATAATTTCTAGAGGCTTTTTCTATTTTAATGGAATGGTAGTTATTTTTTCATTGTGTTATGATTTTGTTTATGATATTTTATTTTTTTCCTTTACAGAAATTTGAAATTTTTATGTAGTTACATTTCTCGTCCTTCTTTTTATGGCTTCTGAGTTTTAGGTTGTACTTAGAATGGCCTTATTCTAAGATATAGATTAGATAGATTTTTTTAATCACTATTTTTTCCTAGCACTTTGGTAGTTTTATTTTTTTAATATTTCACTTTTTATTCCACTTGAAATTAATTTTTGTATAAAGTGATATGTGGGAATCCAGATTTTCTTTTTCCATTTGGCTAGCAGTTGTCTCAGCCCTATTTACTTTATCCCTTCTGATATGAAGGGCTACCTGGATGTCATTCCAGGTTTTCATTTGGGTCTGGCATCCACTTGCATTTTTTAAAAGGTAATTTAATCACCTGTTTATTTTAGGGAGAGTTGGTAAGCAGATCTTAATCAGACATCTTCTATTACCTTTCTCTTAGTATCTTTAGGGAGATTACTGGCCAGAGTTGGAGTACAAGAGAATTAAGGTTGCCAAGAGTGGGGCTTTAGTCAGTTCAGCACTCCTGTGCCGGCTGTGATGAGGTGGGAACAAGAGCAGTGGGACAGGTGTCTTAATTGCAGGGAGTTTACACCTGAGTTGGAGGAGCCTTCCGTAAGCAAGATAAAAGTGTGTCTGCCGGTGTCTTATGCTGGGATGATACAGTGTTAACTCACATGGAACAGACCATTCAACAGTAAGTTTGTTGTGTGATAGACAGAAAAAATATACGTGGAAAAGGAAGAAAGAAAGGGGTGATATTAAGGAGCGAGAGAACTGCCACTTCATTTGTTATATTTTTGTTGCTAAAGCTGATTGAAATCAGCCTCTTAGTTGGGTTTTAGTACTACAGTACTTCCTCATCCTGTCTACCTTTTCGTGTCAAATACTAAACTTGTGAAGTTCAAATATGTCTGTGCAACGATGCCATGCTTTTATTTACTAATGGATTGTTTTAGTTACTAGGTAAGTAATTAGCTTTGCTAGCACCGAAAAACTTCATTTGTGACTGGTTTTGACTTGTACTGTGTGTATTAATACAAACGTGTGCTGAGGTGATTCATTGGCAGGAATAGGACCAGAATCTAGGTGTGCTTCATCTCAGTGGTCTGAGACTGAGCTACCCTGAGTTATACCATTTCATAGTGGGGACAAAAAACAGGACATAATCTTTGTACAATGTACATGCATGGGTCGCATCCTCTGGGTTTGGCTTTAATTCCTCAGAATTTCTCTTGTAGGACTGGCTGGACAATGGCCCAGAACAAGCTATTCAACAAGATCCTCAAAGCCCTGCAGTCTGACCGGCTGGCCCGCTTGGCCAACGAAGGGGTAAGACTCCAGAAATGTGGCCACGGTGGGCTCTCCCTAGTTCGGGCCTCAACGGCTGGCTAACTTGTTGGGCCCTCACCCCCACCCCAACCCCAGTTGCTAACCAGGTGGTCCTCATGCTTTGTCATTCCACTTACACCTTTCAGGCTTGTAACGAGCCCGTGCTGCGCCGTGTTGCTGTGGACAAGTGTGCAAGGAGAGTGCGGCAGGCTCTGGCAAGCGTGAGCTGGGACACCAAGCTGATCCAGTGGCTGCACACCACCCTGGTGGAGACCTTGAGCCTACCCATGCTGGCGGCCTACCTGGATGCTTTGCAGACACTGAAAGGGAAGGTGAGGCTCTGACTGGCTTCTGCCCCGTCCTGCGTAGCCCGCCTTTGCTGTGGGTTCAGGACGTGGGATTGGGCAAGGTTGTTGCCTTGTCAGCCTGGAGGGCATGACTGAAACTAACAGATTTGCTATTAAAAACAGGAGACATGGTATCATTTCACATTTTTGTCCAGTGTAAACGTCTTCAGTCTCCTGTCTCCAGATGAGGTGTAGGGCCCCCAAACCAGAGAACGTGGGCCTGTACAGCCATGCAGCTTGTGGTTTGAGTCACTTCTGAGGTGAGGTGAGAAAGGAGAAGATGAAGGGTTTACAGGGAGGAGTGTTGAGAGGGGGCAAGAAGCAGACCCGTGGTGCTGAGGGTGTGGGGGTGGGACTGGGAGGGGTTCCAGAGCAGGAGGGGCACGGTGACACGATGCCTCAGTCTCTCCTCATCGTGGTGAGCCTTCGGTAGCAACATTTTGACTTCAGTCATTCTTTGTAAAGCACATTATTACATTTCCCTGCTTTCTTACTTTGACAGTATTGCAGAAAGTTAAACTGTTTTTCTTCATGATTCCAGTTTATTGTGATTTCAGTTATTGCCCTGGACTGTGTTCCGTGCGGTGGAGTATGGGTTCTAGGGGCAGAGTGCCTGGGTGATCTCATCTTGATCACTAATAAACTTTAATCTTGAATTAGTGACTCAATTTCCTCATCTCTGAAAAGTGGTTAATAATAATACCTATCCAGGATTTTTGTGAAAATTAGTTAATCCAAAAAGAATGCTCGGCACAAAGTTCGACACATAGGAAACCCACAGTAACTTAATGATTTATAAGTGGTACCATCATTTTTAGAGTGTTTTGCTCCAATACAGAATGGTGGTCTCAGACAACTTGGATTAATTGAGTCTTTGACTTCTTTTTTTGTTTTTTTCAATGGTTTCTCTTTCTTCTGCTTTGCAGGAAGCTGGCCCATTTTGTTGCTATAATTTGCCTGGCCACCAGCTTCCCCCAGCCATATCCCCCAAATTTTCAGGCTCATTGTTTCCTACCTGTTTATAAGTTGAAGAATGCTAAATTTATTTGAAAGCAAGAGAGGTCTGGTTTAGTGCAGCAGTAAAACAAAACTCAGGACTAGGTGTATTAATGAAATGCATAGTAGGAAATTTGACACTAATTTATACATTCAATAAATATTATTTTGTGCCTACAGTGTGCCAGGCACTGGGGTGAGCAAAACAGAAATTCTCTCTCTTCTCATGGAACTTGTTTTCTAGTGGAGAAAAAGACAGATGAAAAGATAGTCCCAGACTTCCACCTTCCATTGCTCCTCTGCAATGGAAACCCCGGCCCGGGAGCTAAAGGGTGGACAGGCATGGGCACAAGGTGGGTATGGGGTCAGGATAGGACCCTGGCAGAGAATGGTGGCCTCTGAGTATTCCAGGCATTTTGAATGTTCTCCACAGCACTCTACATATGGGAAAGTATAACACTGGTGAGTATGCTATAGGGGGTGAGTGTTGGTAGTGCCCAGAGCCCACTTCTCTGCCTTACTTTGCCTGGCCAGTATGCCTGGGAGGTACTTTCCCTGATGAAGAAGTTTGCACTGCTTCCCCATTGAAGTTACTGTCTGGATGTTCCCTGGTGAGTGAAGTGGGGCTCAGGTTTTTTGAGTATGACGCACCGCTGGCGGGACTCCGGGCATAGTGCGTGCTACTCAGCCCTGCTGCTTGGTCCTGGTGCGGTTTAGCTGGAATGATGGAGGACAGGAGGACACGCTAGTGCACCAGTCAGCAAGGGTGCAGACTGCAAGGTGCTGTCTGCTCGAGGTTCTCTCAGAAGTGGTTCCCCTGCCGTCAGACTCATTTTCGGATGACTGTCAAATTCACAACAAATACTTAGGTTGTTTCCTAAAACTTGTAACATACCTGGTGGATGAAAATGCAGGTGGATTGGGATGATGCTCTTGGCCCAGCCGCTTTCACCATTAGACCTATTACAAAGGGAGCAGAGAAAGTATAGCCCCTAGCCCCTTCATTGTCTGCTGAGAGCGATGCAGTGCTGGAGAGACCAGGGACACTTGGTCTGCCTAGCTCCACGCAGAGAAGTTGGTTACTGATTAATTAGTTCTAAGTATCTGTATTGACAGAAAGTGAGTTTCATGGCTTTGTCATTTCAGAGGTGTACTCTACTCCTGCCAGATAAAAACTTCTAGAGACTAATTGGTCAGATCCTCTACCTCAGGGTGCTCAGTGGCTTACAGTTACAGAGTAAGTTGCAAAGAGATGGCCAGTTGAGGGTGAAGATCTTTGCAATTTGGATGTAGCCTTTGTCACTGGCCTCATATCCTCCCTACTTCCTTACTTAAATCCTTGACTTCAGAGCATCTGTGCCTAGAATAAGCCCTGTACATTCTTGCTTACATCTGGTTGGAAAGCTGTTTTCCTATCTTCTTCTGTTGGAATTTCTTCAGAGCTCATCTCACTTCACATGCTGTGTGTTGAGATGAAAATTGCCTGTTTCCTTCCTTTTCTGTTGGACAGTTTGAATCATAGCAGTGTGAGGCTTCTGCTTCTCTATGGCACTTAGCGCCCTCCCCCCCAACTTTGTTATTTGTGTGCTTCGTTAACCCTTGTAGATTAAATTCCTTTGCAGTAAGTACTAGCCTAGTGCCTTGTAACAGCAATGTTGCATAAACATTTATTTCCTGAATTAAACTGAGAAAGTCTCATGGTTATATTTACCTCATTTCTTATGTAGAAATCTTTTCAGTCTTGCTCTTTTAAAATTAGGAACACTGTCCTTGCTTGTCTTGGCCTGGAGCAGCTTATCTTCTTGTGCTGCCTTTGAACTTTTTATATTTATTTAATTGAGGTGTAATTGACATATAGTATATTGGTTTCAAGTATACAATATGATGACTTGATATTTATATGTATTGCAAAATGATCACCACAATAAGTTAAATCTAGTTAACATCATGGTTACAAAAATGTTTTTTCTTGTGTTAAGAATTTTTAAGATTTACTCTCAGCAACTTTCAAATATGGAACACAGTATTATTAACTGTAGTCACCATGCTGTACGTTGCATCCTATGACTTACTTATTTTGTATTTTTTGGTCCCTTTTATGCATTTCATCTATCCCTCACCCACTCCCTCTGTCAACTACTAGTCTGTCCTTTGTATCTATGAATTTGTTTTGTTTTGTTTTTGTTTGTTTCAGATTCCACATATGAGTGAAATCATATGATATTTTTCTCTTCTGACTTACTTCACTTAGCATAATACTCTCAGAGTCCATCCATGTTGTTGCACATGGCAAGATTTCCTTCTTTTTTTTAGTGGCTGAACAGTAAGCCGTATTTTCTTGATCTATTTATCCATCAGTAGGCACTTTTAGGTTGTTTCCATATCTTGGCTATTGTAAATAATGCTGCAGTGAACATGGGGGTGCAGGTATCTTTTTGAGTTTGTCGTTTCTTTTTCTTCTGATAAATACCCAAAAGTAGAATTGCTGGATCATATGGTAGTTCTACTTTTAATTTTGTGAGGAACCTCCATACTATTTTTAATAGTGGCTACACCAATTTATGTTCTCACCAACAGTGCACAAGTGTTCTGTTTTCTCCACATATTTCCAACATTTGTTAATGCTTGTTTTTTTTGGTAATAGCCATTCTAACAGGTGTGAAGTGGTATCTCTTGTGGTTTTGATTTTTATATCCCCAGTGATTAGTGATGTTGAGCATCTTTTCATGTACCTGTTGGCCATCTGTAAATCTTCTTTGGAAAAATGCCTATTCAGTTCTGCTTATTTTTTAATCAGATTGTTAATTTTGTTGATGTTCAGTTGCATGAGTTCTTTATATATTTTGAGTTCTTTCTATCTTTATATATCCCTTAAGAGATAATGTGATTTTCAAATATTTCTCCCATTCAGTAGGTTGCCTTTTCATTTTGTTGATGGTTTCCTTTGCTGTGCAGAAGCTTTTTAGTTTGATGTAGTCCCACTTGTTTATTTTTGTTTTCGCTGCTTTTGGGGTCAGATCCAAAAAATCATCGCCAAGACTGATGTCAGGGAGCTTACCACCTGTGTTTTCTTCTAGGAGTTTTATGGTTTCAGGCCTTACATTCATGTCTTCGATCCATTCTGAGTTAATTTTGTGCATGACATCGTATGTTGGTCTAGTTTCAGTCCTTTGCATATGGCTGTCCAGTTTTCCCAACATCATTTATTGAAGAGACTGTCCTTTCCCTACAGTATGTTCTTGGCTCCTCTGTCATAACTTAATTGAACATATATGGATTTATTTCTGGGCTCTCTATTCTGTTCCATTCATCTTTGTGTCTGTTTTTATGCTGGTACCATACTGTTTTGGTTACTGTAACTTTGTAAAATAGTTTGAAATCAGGAAGCATGATGCCTCTAGCCTTGTTCTTCTTTCTCCAGATTGCTTTGGCTATTCAGAATCTTTTGTGGTTCCATACAAATTTTAGCATTGTCGGTTCTATTTCTTTTTTTTTTTTTTTTTGTCGGTTCTATTTCTGTGAAAAATGCCGTTGGAATTTTGGTAGAGATTGCATTGAATTTGTATAGTACATTTTTGGGGGGGTAGTATGGACATTTGAACAAAATTAATTTTTCCAGTCTGTGAGCATGACATATCTTTCTATTCATTTGTGTCTTACTCAGTTTCTTTATTGATGTATTATAGTTTTCAGTGTACAGATCCTTTACCTTCTTGGTTAAATTTATTGCTAGGTATTTTTTTCTTTTTGACGCAGTTGTAAATAAGAATTTCTTAGTTTCTCTTTCTGTTGGTGTAAAAATGCAACAGATTTTTATATATTGATTTTGTATCCTGCAACTCCATTGAATTTGTTTATTGTAACAGTTTTTTGGTGGAATCTAGGGTTTTCTATATATAATTTTGTGTCATTTGCAGATAGTGACAGTTTTACTTCTTCCTTTTTAATTTGGATGCTTTTTATATCTTTTTCTTGCCTAATTGCTCTAAAAAGTGGTGAGAGTGGGCATCCTTGTCTTGTTCCTGATCTTAGAGAAAAAGCTTTCAGTTTTTTACTCTGAATGTGATGTTCGCTATGGACTGAACTTTTACAGCCTGCATCACCACAGTGCTTTTTATTCTTCAGTTTCTCAAAAAAATTTTGTTTTTCTGAAAACTACCTCAAACATTTAAAAATCTTTCCTTTCTCCTAGGTCATTTTGACCTTTTGTGGTTGGTGTGGGATTCACACAGGTATTTCTTCTCAGTGTAAGCATCAGCATGTCTGAAACCTGTATTTACGCATCTATGAGGTCACATTTTTGAAGAATTGTAATGGTGTGATGTGGACCCACAAATGTGGAGGGCCAACCGTAAAGTTATATACAGATTTTCAACTGTGTGGAGAGTCAGCATCCCCAACCCCACATTGTTCAAGGGTCAACTGTATACATAGTATAGTAGGATCTATTATTTGGGACACAGTAACGGATTTCTTTAATACTTCACAGCTTGAAGGCAGTACTCTAGAAGAAAATGCAGGGTTTTTTTTTAATTTATAAAATCAGTTGATACTTATTAAGAAAATTTAGAAAATACAGAAGTTTAAAAAGAAAGAAGTTACTCATAACTCCATAAAGATCACTATTAACATTTCGCATATTTTCCTGTAGTATTTTTTCTGAGTAGAGATAATTTTTATATTTTCTATTTTATCTTTAACATTTTAGCAAATTATTTCCTTTTGTTATTATAAAATTTTAAAAATATTTTAAATTATATCTAATTACGTAGATAACTTGCTTAACTACTTCCTTATATATGCATTTATGTTGTTTCCAGCTTTTGATTATTACTGAGAGTGAATTTTGCATGCCCCCCAACCCCTCTATGTGTGATGTTTGTGTGTCTGTGTGTGTATGTACTTCTGATACAATTTGTTAGGAAAAGGATGGGAATAAATTTAAGTCTCTTGATGTGTGTCACCACATTGGTTTCCAGATGACTGTTGCCACATACCCTTAATGATGGGAGGCATATTTTTCAGCCATTCACTCATTTGTGCTTTTGTTCTTGAGGAAAGTTGGAGAAATCTTGTCCGTGGCTCACCGTGGGGCTGTGTCCTCCCACCTGATTACTGGTGGTGGGATCTCCTGCTTCACACTAGAAGCATCTTTGCTCGTCCTTGCTTCTAGATCCCCACCTTGATTGACCGGATGCTTGTGTCATCCAACACGAAGACCGGCGCTGCAGGAGCCGAGGCCTTGTCCCTTCTGTTGAAGAGGCCCTGGGACCCTGCCGTGGGGGTGCTTTCTCATAACAAACCAGTAAGTTGGACTTACCTGTGGGCCATGAAGTTTTTGTAGAATCCAGTCTTAGAACCTCAGCAAGAGGAGAAGAAATGGCTTGTTCAACTTCTTTCATTAATAACTGGCTATATATAGTGCTTAATATAGTTCCATAAGCAAATCAGCATTTGTTGGGATAAGAAAGGTATTGGGGTACTTGGGATTTCATGGAGGAACACCTCTCCCTCACTGGCTCTCTGGTGGGGTGTTTCTCCTTAGAGCAAACTCCCCGGCTCTCCTCTCATTCTCATTGCCTCCTCTGGACCCTCCAGCTCCGTGTTCCCCACCTCACGCCGCCACCGCTTCTGGCAGTCACAGCTGTCCTGCTTAGGCAAGGTATGGACGGGGCCAGAGGAACTCCCTCCTGGGTGGGAGGATAGTCTTGGAGGATTGAGCAGACAAAAAGGAAGAGGGGTTAGATGAATGACCTTAAATGTGGAGCATCTGCAACTCTTTGGATTTCAAATGGTGTTTACCCAATGTTGAAGGGATCTAGGGTAGGTTAAGCAGACTTGAGAGATTTGAAACTTACCTCTGCTGTCATGGCTGCCACTGTCTTTCCTTTAGGTCATCCCTGTAGCCACCCATCTGCTGAACAATGGGAGTGGGGTAGGAGTTCTGCAGTGTCTTGAGCACATGATTGGGGCAGTGAGAAGCAAAGTGCTGGAGGTGAGACTCCATCTCATTCCACTGTGGCACACCCCGCATTCTGGGTTTGTTCTGCACCAGTAATGTGGCCTCGTGTCTTACTGTCTTCTTTCTCTTCTCACAAAGATTCACAGCCATTTTCCCCACAAACCTATCATCTTGATTGGCTGGAATACAGGAGCTTTGGTGGCCTGTCATGTAAGTAATTCCTCATCTTACTTGGAGGTTACCCTGGGATAGACTGCTGCTGCTAGCTCCCGTTGAATCCTTTTTTATGCTCCAGGCACTGTGCTACATGCTTTACCTGCACGCTTGCATTTTAAACTGTAGAAGACAAATTTTAATTTTTAGCTTTATTGAGTAAAATTTTAAAAAGAAACTTAAAGGGACAATAGATTAGTATAATAAGCCCCTTGGGCCCCTTGCCCAGTGTAATCCCAGTGATCAGCTCATGGCCAGGCTTTTTTTTTATCTTACCTCTGCCCACTTTCTTCTCTAATTATTTTGAGGAAAATCCCAAGTATCGTTTCATTTTCTTTATATATATTTCAGCATGTATCCCTGCAAATTTCTTTTTCTTTCTACCCTTAAAAGTAAGTACTGTTCTGCCACCTAAACAAACAATAATTTAGCCAGCAAAAATCTTAATAGCCCTGGAATTTGATGTTGTGTTCATGTTCTGTCCCTTTCCAAGACATCAAGGAACCTTTTTGTTATTTTACATTCATTTGTATGCGTATTAGTTTGCCTAAGTGTCCCTGACCTGTCCAAAGCCCTAGTTCTCAAGTGGACCAAGTCAGCAAAGTCTGTGCTGCTGTGAGTGGTGTAGTCAAGTGTGACATCCAGGGGTGTGAGAGGAAAAAGGCTGCCTCCATGCATTCCCTGGGCCCAGGAATGGCAGTATGTAGTCAGCAACTACTCTGAGAAATTTGGGGTGTCTGGGAGCTATCTACTAAGCTCAAAAGGGAGAGATCGTCACTTAAGGGAAAAGGGCAATATTTGTATTCCTTTGATTGCATTTGCTATTAGTGGAGGAAAAAGGGAGGCCTCTAGTCTAGCAACTGACAGGATGGAAGTATTAAACCTCCCATCCTATGGCTCCATCCTCTGCTGGGGTCTGCTCAGGGCCCCAGTTCTCTCTGCTGATGGAATGGCACATCTTGTGTTCTGTGCTCTTACTGCTGCCACTATGGCTGGTACATCTAGGGGTTATGACAGGGAGGGAGGGGGTGGGACTGGCTGGTAGGTCTAGACTACACCCCTGGATTCTGGGTAGGATGTAGCTGCAGTAAAGTCAGTTGACCTTGAGACAAACTGTGCCATTATTTCCAGGTGTCGGTGATGGAATACGTCACTGCAGTTGTCTGCCTCGGGTTTCCTCTGCTTACCGTGGATGGCCCCAGAGGGGTAAGCACGGGGTGCAGCTGATTGCTGGGTCACTGGCAGGTGAGAGTAAGGGAGTGAGTGCCTCGTCCAAGCCGGTGCTCAGTGACTGCAGTTGTCCAGCTGACTCTCGACTTGCCAGGGCAGTGCTCAGTGGATATGAACTGGCTGATGGTAAAACATGGGTCTGTTTTAGGATGTGGATGATCCTCTCTTGGATATGAAGACTCCAGTCCTCTTTGTCATTGGTCAGAATTCCCTGCAGTGTCACCCCGAAGCCATGGAGGACTTCCGGGAGAAGATTCGGGCTGAGAACAGCTTGGTGGTGGTTGGGGGAGCTGATGATAATCTCAGGTGGGTAGGTTCCCCCATTGCTGCAAGAGAGCCATGTTGGAGGGGTGCCTGTAAGGTGGTGATGTAACTATAGGCTAACCTGGTTCAGTGAAAAGGGGATGTTAAAATTTTTTTTTACCTTTTTAACTAATACAGATTTATTAAAAAGTTGCAAAAATAGTATAGAAGATTTTCTGTACTGTTCACCCAGATTTCCCGAATATTAACATCTTACATAACCAAAGTATAATTATCAAAAAATCAAGAAATTAACGTGGGAATGATACTGTTATCCAATGTACAGACTCGCGTTTCATCGGTCGTCTTATTAATGCCCTTTTCTGGTCCAGCATCAAATCCAGGATCACACATTGCTGCTGGTTACCGTGTCTCCTCAGTCTCCTTTAATTTGATACTTTTCCTCAGTCTGTCTTTGTCTTTCATGATCTTGACACTTTTGAAGACTTCTGGCCAGTTATTTTGTAGACTGTCCTTCAATTTAGGTTTCCGATATCATCTTACGATTAGGGTGAGGGTACACATTTTGGCAGAAATGCAGAGCCAGTGTGCCCTCAGTGCACCCCTCAGGGAATACGTGATGTTGCTACGTCTTGTCACTGGTGATGTGAACCTTGACCACGTGATTAGGGTAGCATCTGCCAGGTTTCTCTACTATACGGTTGCTGTTTTCCTCTTTGTAGTTAGTAGTCATCTTGTGAGGAGAAGGTGTTTTGAGATGCTGTAAGTATAGTCATTGTGCTTTCACTCTGGTAGGTGTTTCTTTACATTTGATTCCTTACTGAGGATAAATGTAAACATAGATTTATTTGTTTTAAGCATCCTTTTGTATATTTTGAAGTTTGAACAGTGAAAGTCCAGAAGGGATTTAGGAAAATAAACCCCTTTAGTCACTGAGATGGCCATTCTCCGATTGCAAGGCTGGCTGCCTGTGGGGCCTTTAATTATGTTTTCATGAAATGTACTGAAGAAGAGGTTATGTCCTTTACTGGGCCTCCTTTTTCATACGCTTAATCTTAGGTACTCATTGGTGTGCTCTAAGTGGAGGGCTTAAAGTGAGTTCCCACTTGCCTTGTCAGTTTCTTACCCAGAGATGCTTTGGAGAAGTCCTTCTGGCCTTTGTCATTTGACAGCTTCTTGTGGACCTAGAATCTAATTCTTTGATGCTCAAGACAATGTTTGCTTGTAAATACATTGCTTTTTTCCTAATTCAGGCATTCTTATCTATAGGAGAATAGATTGTGTGTGTTGAGTTGCCGTGAGGGAGCGGGAGAGATGGAAATACCCTTAGTGAGAGTTATATTGTGAGGCTACGTATGAGACATACTTGCCTGGTGCCAAGAAGAGCATTGGGCTGCAAATTGGGAGACCTCAGTTTAGTCTTGGCACCTTTGCTGAGAACGTTGCGTAAGTTGCTTAACTTCTGGCAATCCATGTCCTCATCCGTAAAATGAGTGTGTTACACAGGGCAGAGGCCAACAACCAGTAAATTGGGGTCTCAGAATTTGGAGGCTCAGAACCATGTTCTCTACCCTGTCAATTGACACCTTGTTTCTCTTTCTGCTGAGACCCTTAGTCGGAAGGCAGGGGGTTTAAGGCTAGCTTTCAAAGAGGAGAACGCAGCCAGCTGTGGTCTCTTTCTCTTACCGCTATAGAGCTAACCTGTGGTCACCTTTCCTTCCCTCCTGCTGATCTCATTTCAGCAGCAGCCAGTAATCTCAGGGCTTGGGTCTGTGTTGAGGTTCCTCGAGGTGAGGTCTTAGCAATCGAATAGCATTTACCTGTGAGACCATAAGCATAGGGCTTCTGGAGGTACAGTCCCAGGTACTTTCGTGTGTTCTTTGATTCTTTACATACCTTGTGTTGTGTCATCCCCACAACTCCATGTGTGAGGTGTTACGAGTCCCCATTCTGCAGATGTGGAAACTGAAGTTCAGAGAGATTGTGAGACCTGCCTGAGGGCTAACATAGTCTTCCTTCTGGGGCCTAGAAATAACCAGTGTAGAAGAGAAATCCATTCTTATTTTCATATGTTGCCATGGAATGTTTAGAAAGTAAACATTTCCTCTTTTCTGTCTCTTAGAATAAGCAAAGCAAAGAAGAAATCAGAAGGATTGACTCAGAGCATGGTGGACAGATGTATTCAGGTACACAGTTGCTTTACATGGTTTTCTCAACCAGGCTTGCCTTTCTGTAACTTTTAGGCTGGGTCTTGTTGGCAGCAGCCTCTTGGCTCTAAGGGGAATGGATATCCACTGGGGCCTCTGGTAGGCCCAAATCATGAGCAAAGACAAAGGGCATGGAGAGAGGGAGGAAGAGGGAGAAGGAGAGTACCGACCTAAGTTGGGAGCGAAGCATGAGGGGAGAAAGGGTTTATTGGAGGTGTGATGAAGGGCAGTCACCCCAGAGTGCCACCTCACAGGGCCACTGGCTCCGGCTGGCCTTTGGCTGAGGCTGGGGTTTGTACCAGGCTTTGGGTGCATGGGAGGGACCAACACACTGATGGCAAAGCCGAGGTGAAGTCCATTTTAGTAGGAACTGTCTGGGAGGTTCCTTTTCTCCAGATAAGGACTCAGCGGCCTTGACCCCTCTTACACTAGGATGAGATTGTGGACTTCCTGACTGGAGTGCTCACTCGCGCTGAGGGGCACGTGGGCTCTGAGCCTCGGGACCAGGATGCTGAGAAGAAAAAGAAGCCCCGGGATGTGGCCCGCAGAGACCTGGCCTTTGAGGTCCCTGAGCGGGGCAGTCGACCTGCCTCACCAGCTGCCAAGCTGCCTGCCTCACCCTCGGGCTCAGAGGTAATGCAGGCAGGGAGGGAGCACTTTTGCTGGGGGTTCTTCCCTTCGTGGGGCTGCCTGGTGGCCTCGCCAGGCCTGTGAGTGCCTACGAGGAGAATTCCTGGCCAGGGAGTTCCAAGAGGACTTGATGATTGACAATCAGTCCAAACAACATTGGCTTGGCTCTTGTCCTTCTTAACCTACTCAGGATCTCTCCAGTGTGTCCAGCAGCCCCACCTCCAGTCCCAAGACCAAAGTGACCACGGTGGCCTCTGCCCAGAAGTCCAGTCAGGTCGGAAGCACTCAGTTGCTGAAGAGACACGTCCAGCGGACGGAGGCTGTGCTGACCCACAAACAAGCCCAAGGTACAGCCGCCTGGCCCCGTGGCCTCTCAGGCTCTGTCCTCTGCAGTTGACGTCGTTAGGCAGTTGGAAAGTATTGGTGTCTGCAGCTTTTCCAGGGGTGTGTGAAAGGCACCCTTTCCCACATTTCTGTCCAGGCAAAATTAGGTTGAAATGAACACTGAGGGCTGTTTCCAAGGGTAAAATAGCACAGAGGGTCTCTGCTTAGTGCTCTGTATAGTTCCACTAATTATAGCTGTGTCTTGGTTTTCTGAGGAAGTTAGGCTTTATGAACTGACTGTGTGTGTATTGCTCTCAAACTTTTTTCTAACTGCCAATTGGGGAAGCTCCATCTTCTGTTCCAGGCCTGCCCAGCCGCTCCTGCAGCCAGGGAGCTTTCCAGGTCCCGCAGACGGGATAATTGGCCGTGATCGTCAGATTCTAGGGCAACTCCACTGGCATCATGCCCTCCCTTTGTTTTGCCCTTGAAGAGTTAAGATTCCCACATTGGGACTTCCAGTGAAGTTTTTCAGGGGTCTCTGCAGATAGATTTTTAGATTAAGCTGGGAAGTATTTGTGTGGTTGAATGGAGTTTGGAGAACAGTGAGTGCTATGTAAGAAGCTCTGGAGAAGGGAGCCTTCAGGGGTGGGGAGGGAGGCAGCAGTGGCTCTCCCCCTGCCTTCACTTTGATCCAGTTGGGGGACCCTGAGGTGAGGCCTCTTGGGCGTTTGGTGATGTATCCAGGAGCAGGTGTCATCTGAGGTTCTCAGGCGCCTGGGAAGGGGCAGCAGCTGGAGCTGGTTGTCAAATAGAGAGACGTGGAGGTGACAGGAGGCTCGTCTGCTCTCTTCCCTGTGTTTCTTTTAGTGGAGCCAAACGGTCAGGACTTAGACTCAGGCCTCTTACAAGGTTGCCCGTAGAGTGGTGCTAACAAGAAGCAGAAGTATGAGTGGATGGGTGAAGACAAAAAAGAGGCCTGGCCCTTAGGGTCCACGTGGATGCTCTGCGACCAGTAGCTTCCTAAGTGGTGGCCAGAGCCAAGTTCCAAGTGGGTAGTGTCCCCTTAGGCTTTTGATGAAGAGAGAGCCATCAGTTTGCCATGCTTCTGGAGGAGATAATTGGTCATGAATGTAAGGAGTTCTGGAAGGCTGATTGGTGAGCCGAGTTTGAAATGGGACCCAGAGTTTGATGGGGGAGAGCCGCAGCCCTAGCGCCCTGGCTTTGGCAGAGCTCACAGACTGCAGGGGATGATCCTAGCTAACATTCACGGGCCCTCGCTGCGGGCCTGCCTCTTCCTGTCACTGGACTTGCTCTTGCTTTTGGAATCTGGGCAGTGGCCCCAAGAGGCAGGTACAGTTAGGATTTTCAGTTTATGGATGGTAAATGGCAGAGTCAGGTTTCAAACCCGTGCAGTAATTCCAGAAGAAGTACCTGTTGACCATTTCCTAGAACATTTTCATATCTTTTTCTTACTCCTCTTTTTCTCCTTTCTCTGACTGGCTGTGATTCTGTAATTCTTTCTGATTCATTCCAGCACAGTTTGCTGCTTTTCTGAAACAAAATATGCTGGTGAGGAAAGCTCTTCCTCCCGGCACCTCCTCCTGTCTCTTTGGTGAGTATTGTTCTTTCTCTCACCTTTTCACCCTCTGCTGTCTGCTTCTCTCCCCTTCTCCCTCTTATTTCTTCCCCATCCCTGCCTCTCATTTGTCTGGTTTCCTCCTATTCTTTTCTCTCTGCGTTCTTCTACCTTCTGATTCTTGTCTTTGCTGGTCCTCCTGCTCACTCCATAGTCTTTGCTTTCCCTCCCCATTCTTTCTGTTTGCCTCTCATGGTGTTTTTCTCCTTTTGTCTCTTCTTGCGTTTCTCGACTCTGCTTGTCCTGTGTGTGTCTGTGGTCCATCGCCTGTGAGTCTGAATTTTCCTGTGTTTTTCTCCCTGCCTCTGGTTTCCTGCTTCCATCCGAGCTACTGCAACCACTTATCAGCATAAAACCATGCTCCTTTCCCGTTTGCCCTCCTCCTGTTCTGATCTTAGTCAGTGCCTTTATCCGCTAGGCAGTCCTTTCAGCTGGATGTGGCCTGATTGTGATCTGGAGTAGCTCCCTGTAGCCCCTTGCCAGCTTCCCTCCCCCCACCTCCCTTTCCTTGTGTGACTCCTGCCTCTCCCCACCCCGTCCCCATCGCCTATGCCAAGAACAACTGGGAAGGGCTTCTAGGTTTAAAGAGGAGGGGTTCTCTGAGGAAACCTGAAGGATCACTTAAGAGTCTAGGAGGCATGGGCATGTGCAGGATGAATCTGTTTGATTCAGTGGATGGGGAAGCCCATGTGTGAAGAGACGGCCTTTCTCTGTGCTAGTACAAATGACCTGGGGACTAGGCTGTGATGTGGGCCACTGTTGCCGTATTACTTCTGGGCAGGAGCTGTAATGTTGTCTTGGCTGAGATGCTCCCTTGCCCAGTAGTCACTCGAAGCCAGCCTGAAGTCCCAAGGACAATCCTCCTCACTGTCTCCGTTTGGCCAGCAAGCCCTCAGCCTTGGGCCCTGAGGGCAGGGTGGGACTCCAAGCTTGGTAGAAGTTTCCCTTTTGGGGAGAACTGAATAGCCTGCTCCTCTATTGCTTCTTCATAAAATGGTTACCGTCCTCCAGCTGTATGATGTTGGGGAGGACTTGAGAATTGTCACATTCTTTTGAGTTCAAGAAACCCTGTTCAGACCTACCGTGGTGAGTCCTCTGGTTTTTGATTGGCCTTTGCTAGGCAGGATCAGGGTGTCTTCTTGCTTTTTGTTCCCTCCAACTCAGAACCCCCTTCCTTCCGACTCCAGGACAGGGTAAGGGATGGGGCTGGAGCCATCCTCTGAGAGGGCCAAGGTGGAGCTGCACCACAGGAGGGCCTGAGTGAGGTGGGACTGAAGCATCAGCGTTCTCCTTGGACGTGTGGTGACTCTGCGTGGGGTGGTTCTTCTGCGTGTTCCCACACAGCCTTGCCCATGCTGGTACTGTCACTGTCTGTTGGGCTTTTTTGGATTGTGGAGAACTTCACCACAACTCTATTTTTAGTTCCTATTTCATCAGAACAAACGGAAGAAGCTGAGAAAGAGGATCTCAGGGTCCAGCTGAAGCGGCACCATCCCTCCAGCCCTCTTTCTGGCAGTAAGACTCCCAAGCGACCCAAGATCAAGGTGTCCCTTATCTCCCAGGGGGATACAACTGGGGGGCCTTGTACTCCCCCCCAAGGAGGAGCTCCAGAAGGTAAGTTCTTCCAGGTCTATTTAAATAAAAACTGACTGCACCCTCCCAGGCACACAGCGTTGCCCTTTTGGTGGCCCCTTGTTGAGCATCTCAGCCTCTCCCTTGGTGTGAGAGGTGCCTGGGGCAGAGATGGCACGTGATTGCTCCTGGGGGGATGGTGGGCAGTAACCTGGGCTAAACTAGGATCAGGGAGGCAGAACGAGGATCAGAGGAAGCTGTGGGATTATTCAAAGCATCATGCATTTTGTTCTTTTTTGGTTTTAATTAATGATAATGAAATATTCCAGGAAGTTTAGAAAATAGAAGGAAAAAAGTAACCCTAGATCTTCTTGCTGTAATGTAGCTATTCATCATTTTTCATCTTCCAGTCTTTTCCATAATATGTTGCATTTAGCTCTGAAAGGTCAGGGCCAAATAGGACTGACCAGTTTTCTGTTCTGCAGCCACAGGAGGGAAGCCCATCACCGTGGCGCTGGGGCAAGCTCCATCCGGGGCCAAGGAGCTCGCAGGACTTCTCACTACCAGCAAGTGAGTCTGCTTCCTGGTCTCTCTTGGTCTGTTCCTTTCTTTGTCTTCACATTTTCTCCACTCCATTTAGTGCTTTGGGGAGATGGTGGATTCTGGATTCCGTCCATTTTCAGAATGTGACTTTTCTGAGTGGCATCTTTGTCTGGGTCAACTAGGAGTTCATTTTTACTTAAAGTTTGCAAAACGTCCTGTAGCTCTTGCTTCAAGGCCTAAAGTCTTTACTTTAGGCCTGACTTTGGAAAGATTAGAGCCTGGATTTAGAAGGTGGAAAAAGGAAACGGAAGGTTCTAACCTTATGCTCATTGCTAAGAGCCTTGCTGGGCCCCACTGTGGACCTTCCCTGTGTTGCCAGGGTCTGCTGCCCTCTGACCTTTGGATAATGGAGCTCCTGCCTTTATCTGCAGGTCAAGTGCTTCTGAAGGGGGAGTCTCAGCCAGCCCAGTGTCCTCAGTGGTCTCCAGCAGCACTGCACCCAGTGCCTTGCACACACTCCAGAGCCGCCTCGTGGCCACCTCTCCTGGCAGCTCCCTCCCAGGTATCGGATTGCCCAGCATTCCCTGCCTCTCCGCAAAACCTCTTAGGGCTGCTTGTAGAGGGTGGTCCTGGGAAAGCGTCCTTGGAGCTGGAGCTGGAGGATGCTCCTCTGGGCCTCAGGCTTTTCATAGAGACTTGGTGTGAAGCTGGAACTAGCTTTGAGGTGGGGGAGTTTGGGGCCTTAATATTTGCCGTGAGTAAATGTCCTAGTCTGCAAGTAGTGTGTCTTGTATTATAGGAGAAGAAAGCGCTGGTGGGAAAGGTATGTCCTGGTTTCATTTTGGTGTTTTTAAACACATCTGGTTGAATGAAACTGGAAATGGTGCTGTGCTGGGCGTTAGCACAGTGACATGTTTTTCCGCCTGTGCTTGTCTCCTCACTTTCTCCCCGCCTCCCCGGCACTGCACGAAACGCTGGTTGCCTGAGCCCAGCAGGGCCAGGGCACTGTAGATGCCCTGCTCCTTTGAGAGGACCTTCCTCTTTGCTTTGAGGTGACTGGACTGTGTGTAAAGTGAAGTGTAAGCCAGATATTTGGGATTCTTTGGCTTAAAAAGTCCTTCCTCTTCTGAAAGAAAGGCAAGAATTTAGATTTCTGAAAAGTGGGATTCATGCTCTCCTTGGTTTTCCTAAAACTGTCCAAAATGTAGGACAGGTGATCTGGAGCAAGTTGGGATGTGCAGAGTGAATCTGAGGCAGTGTGTCAGGCGTAGTACCTTTCCTCATGTGAGCATCTGGCATGCATGCTTGGGGAGCCCCTTTGGCATCTCTGTGAGAGTGCTAGGAGTGTCTGAGGGAGAGAGCGTTGGTGTTCTAGTCAGCTGCTGAGGGTGGACGGGCACGGCTCCTCTGGGCTAAGGGACTGAGCCTGTGCTGATGTTGCTGTATCCTCTCCTAGGGGCCACATCAGCCAGCAGCCTCCTCCAAGGCCTCAGCTTCAGCTTGCAGGATATCAGCAGCAAGACCTCTGGCCTCCCAGCAAGCCCCTCCCCGGGGCCACCCCCACAGGTGCACATCTGCCTTCCACTGGGCTGGACAGGTGTGGGAGGAGGCCTCCTCAGCTTAACTGGTTCTGGCAGGGACGCTGGGTCTGGAGTCTGGACAAATAGCCTTCTGACTTCACTATTAGAACGATCATAGGTTAAGGCTCCACCACTTACTAAGTGATCTTGGGCCAGTTTCTTGATCTCTCTGTACCCTTGTTTTCTTGTTTATAAAATGAGAATAGTGGTAGTATCTCCATTGCAGAGTTGTTTTGAGAGTCAAGTAAGATCATATATGGAAAGTGCCTGGTGGAGAACCTTGCATGTGGTAGGCACTCAGTACCTGGTAGCCTTTCACAGTATGGGCCCTCCGCACTCGACCGTTGCTGTTGGGCAACAGCTTCTGATCACCTGGGCTTGTGTGTCCCACAGGCCACCAGTGTGAAGTTGCCCACCCCCATGCAGAGCCTGGGTGCCATCACCACGGGCACCAGCACCATTGTCCGTACCATTCCTGTGGCCACCACTCTCTCCTCCTTGGGTGCCACTCCTGGTGGGAAGCCCACAGCCATCCACCAGCTGCTGACCAATGGGGGCCTCGCTAAGTTGGCAAGCAGCCTCCCTGGCCTGGCTCAGATCTCTAACCAAGCATCAGGTGAGTCTCATGAGTACTGTGGGGACTCCCAGATATGGGATCTTCCCCCAAGACCTTCCCATCTCACATGGGCAAGGTATGATGTTGAGCCCAACCCCCACAGGGTCCTGGCCTTGCCCCTCAAGGATTCAGCTATATGGGTCCATCCCTCAGAGAGGCTGAGAGAACACAGGCTGTTCCCGTTGCCTTTCAGACAGACAGACAGGGCACAGATGACCCAGCTGGGGAGGAGGCCGAGGCGGGAGGCTGAGAGGGGTGTGTTATATGGGAAAGAAATGCTCCAGGAAAGTGGAGGCTGTGACAAAAAAGCCTGCTCCCTCTCTCTCAGGCTTGAAGGTCCCCACCACCATTACTCTGACACTGCGTGGCCAGCCCAGCCGAATCACCACGCTGAGCCCCATGGGTTCAGGAGCAGCGCCAGAGGAGCCCACCTCCCAGGCGCTTCCCTCCAGCTCACAGGTGAGTCTGCCGGGGAAGACCGAGGACACAGGCTCCAGTGTTGGGAAGCTTGGGGCCGGCTGACTGGCTGATTGGAGGAGCTGGACCCGTAGGCAGACCTGGTGTGAATCACACTCGGGGTCTGTAGCTTCGTGACTGAGCAAGTCATGGGCCTCTCTGAGTCTCCTTCTCTGTTACGCTCCCTGGATGGTTGTGAGGACTAACTGTGTCGATATTTCCAAGTTGTAGCAGTGCCTATTTAATGTTTCTGTTTTCTTCCCTACTCTGTCCTTTTCTCCTCCCATTCTCAGTTCTATCATCCAGAGGTTGGGCAGAAGCCAACTGGTGAATCGTCTTTTTATGACCACCTTTCCAGTGTAGTACCATTCCAGAGCTTGGCGTTCATTGCTGTCTTTTCAGGGCGCAGTTAGCTTTCTATAGCTCTTGCCCAGGCAGTCACCATCAATTTCCCTTAGCTGATTTGATTTACATTATGATCGTTTCAAGTAAAATGTTTCTAACCTTAAATGGTAATCTGAGAGTCACCCAAAGATCAGAGGTTAAAGAGAAAAATAGTATGAGTCCAGTAATGAATGTGCTTTCCTTCAGTGTCCACTTTTCAGCCGAGGCCTGCCTTCTGCGGGAACAGGGTGCTAAGCAGGCTGCTATGACCGAGGACCTGGCCCTGAGCCCTCATTCCCACCACACCAGCCCTGCCCGGGGTCTGGGCACCTGTCTGTTCGCAGCTGTTTCAGAAGCTCTTCTGCCTCTTCCTCTGTAGGGGAAAGTACTGCACAGAGATTATTCCCCAGCATTCATCGGGATCATAGCTACCCCTACCTGCCTTTCTGCAGAGAGGTTGAGGTGTTTTTCTTTCTTTATTTTATTCCCTATTTTTTAAATTAAAAATGTAATCATTATATTTGTTTTAAGTAGTACAAACATTACAGAAATAATACAATTTAGAAAGTGAAAGTTTCCCGTGGTGGCACTCTAAGGTGGTACCCACTGTTGGTGACTTGATGTGCAGTCTCCTAGATTTTCCTTTCCATTCAAAGCACATTATTTTATTTTTCTGACAAAAATTGGATCACAGAATATGGACTATTTCTTAACTAGCCTTTGTTTACAAAACGTGTTGTGACATGTTTCCCTGTTCATTTCATAGAGACCTGTCTGGTTTTTGCCAGTGCCTACTAGTATTTCACTGGGTGGGTGTACTCTCTCTCCCATTAGAGAGTTGGGTTATGTTTTGTGTTTTTCATACCGTAAATAATGGTACAGTGAACACCCCTGTTCATGATTTTTGTGTGCTCCTGGGAGATTTCCTCAGGCTAGAGACCAGTAAGCGGAGGGTCTGTGCATCTAACATCTCGCCAGCCGCTGACTAATGGCCCTTCAGAAAGTTTGCTCACGTACAGTTAAGCCACAGTGATGAGAATACTTGCTTTCCTATACCTTTGTCAATTGTGGAACTCAGTATTTTTTTAAATTTTACTTTTATTTTTTAATGTTTTTATTGAAATATAGTTAGTTTACAATGTTGTGTCAATTTCTGGCATACAGCACAATGCTTCAGTCATATAGGAACGTACATATATTCGTTTTCATACTCTTTTTCACCAAGATATTGAGTATAGTTTCTTGTGCTATACAGTATAAACTTACTGTTTATCAAAACAGCATTTTTAATTTTATTAATTTGTTAGGTGAAAAATGAAGCTGTTTTAATATGCATTTTCCTCATTACTTACGAGATTGTCTTCTTTTGTGAATTGCTTGTCATGTTCTGTATCTATTTAATTCATGAGAGCTTTATATATGCAGGTGTTAATCCTTTATCTGTTATACAAATCGTATATGCTTTATTGCAGTCAATTGCTTATATTTCTTTTTCTTTCTGTTGAAGTATTAAGTGCTTGTCTTTAATTTTTGTTTCTGGATCTTTTGTCAAACAGACATTAAAACATTTTTATGTGGTAAAATCTTCACATTCTTCCCTTTATGGCTCCAAAGTTTTGTGTCTTAAGAAACCTCTTCTTATTGCAAGAATATAATCTTTTTGTTGTTTTTCTTCCAACTGTGGTAAAAGATATATATAGTTTACCATCTTATCTTTTTTTAGGCTTATAGTTCAGAGGCATTAAGTACATTCACACTGTTGTGCAACCATCACCACCATCCACCTCTGGAATTTCCCATCATCCGTACTGAAACTCTGTTTTGTTTTGTCTTCTTATATTGATTTTGTTTGTTTGCTTACCTTTAGTAGTTCAGTCCACTTGGAATGTATTTTTAATGCTAAGTGAGGTTAGGATCTAACTTAATTCAAGAGTCCATCCTTCCTCCATTCATTTGAAATCAGGTGCTCTCACATTTTGGATTACGGTTCCCTTGACCTGTCTGTTTCTACACTAGCTTACTACTATTATTTGATAATGCAGGTTCTCAAGGAAGTATCAATTATGTTTCTAGTTTGCTAAGATCATCTTTATTGTTTTCCTTTCTCTTGATAAATAATGGGTTTTAAATTTTGTTCATTGTCCTTTTGAAATCAAATGAGCTGAATGAGCATAAACATTTCCTTTTAGTCAATTAAAATGATGGATTACCTTAAAAGCTTTCCTGATATTGAACTGTCTGAATTTCAGATTCAGTAGATTGTTCAGTATGTCCTATTCTCTTTTTTGCACATGCCTGAATTTTATTGCCTACACTTAGGAAACAAGACCCTATCAAAGGAGAACAAAACAAAAAAAGGAAGAAAGAAGCCAGGTGCTTCAGAGGAACTGCATGTCTACTCTTGATTTGCGTTTATTTTACTTAGGGTTTTGACCTCTATGTTTACTAGGAAGGTGGGCTTATGGTTTTCCTCCCATCTGCCCCTGCTTTTTTGTGTGTGTCCTTTCCTTGTCCAGTTGTGTAAAAGGGATAATTCTATTCTTTTTTTTTTTCCCCTGGGATAATTCTATTCTTATAGAATGAAGTGGAAAATGTTTTTTTTTCTCATACTGTAAAACATTTGTATAGCAGAGAAATGGTCAGTTTCTTGATGATTTGATGGAAATGACCTATAAAGCCACTTGGGCCTATTTTTAGGCAGACGTAACCGTTGCAGATGTCACACTGGTGCACAACGAGAGCACAGACCCCCACCATGAGATGTCTTCCTCTCTTGGGTGGGCCTCTTCAGCTTGCTCTGGCCGGGGGAGGGGTGTGGGAGCTAGAGTTGAGAGAGGATAGAGGTGACTGAGGATCCCTTTCCATGGCTGAATTGAAGTACAGAGTAAACAGCAAAATCTGATTTCTACCTGATGGTATTAACTCAGTAAAATGGGTGTGTAATTACTGTGAGGGTTCTAGTGTTGATTGTTTTCTTTCAGACAAAGGAGGTGTTATTAGGTTAAGACTTGATGACTCAAAAGCATCTAACAGTTACCTCTGTGTTCAGACTGCCAGATAATATGATATCAGGGAAAGCACTGGGCTTCGGGTCAGGCCCTCTGCCTTCAGCTAGCTGTGTGATCCTGGGAAAATCACCTGACCTCTCTGGGCATTGGTTTTCTCATCTAGTCTAGTGAGGAGGTTGGCCTAAGTCAGTGACTGTTGTAGTGGTGGGACGAGTAGGGGCTGTCTCAAAATCTCCGTAGGCTCTGGAAAGATGCATTTTTAAAGGTTGAGAAACAAAGCATCCATTTATGATGTTTATAAGACAATTGGAAATTTGAACACTGACTGGATAATTATTGATGTTAAGACATTGTTAACCTTTTTAATGTGTGATGATGGTTTTAAGTTTGAAAAAGAATCCTTCTTAATTTCTGGATTGCATACTGCAATCTGTATGGATAGAATGAATTTAGAAAGAAAAAAGGTTGTCAACACTGGTTCTAGACTTCTCTAAGGGCTGTGCAAGCTCTTAGTTATCTGCTCTGTTTTTGGCAGTGATGAATGTTCACTGTGTGTTTCCTTTATGGAACTGGACCATTATGTATGCCCTCCAGCTGAGAAGCTGCAAGAGGAAGGGGAGAGACAGAGATTGTTGTGCCCTCAATCAGGGTCCTGAGAATAGACTGCTTGCCTGTGGCCACAAGGTCTGTCTCCTCTCTGGCCATATAGTGACCTTGTCAGTCCAGCCAGCCAGGGGGTAGCCCTTGCTGTAGTCCCTGAAGCAGCCGTGGGAGGACTCTCTCGCTGCAGTGTGCTCCTAGTCAGGACCGGGTACTCATCTGTGCACCGCCCTGCCTTTGGGCAAGGTGAGCAGATGCAAGATGGGTCCTTTTAAGTTTTGATTGCCAAACCCTTCTTCCTTCCTCCTCTCTGGTGTCCTCCATCTGCCCCTCTTTGCTGCATTCTCAGAGACCGCTTCAGAGTTTTCTAAAGGGTAAATCTAGAAAAGTGGGGAATACCTTTCTGAAAAAAGGCAAACTCTCTCTACCTTGTTTCCTTCTTCCTGAGCTGCTGGGCTCAACAATTCATGGCATCTTCCACAGCACTTAAAAAATGGATGAGACCTAAAACAATGATATTGTCAGTACAGTCATGGAAAACTTCCCTTCGACTCTATCACCCTTAACAATTCACTTGTTTCCTTTTCCCTGCAGTCTCTTCTTGTTTTTATGCATAATAATAAGAGCTAATATTTGTGGTCAAACACAAACTGTAAATGCTTTATGCAGATTGTCCCATTTAATCTCCCAACAACTCTGGGAAGTAGGTGCTGTCACCTCTGTCTTACAGAGGAGGGAAAGGAGGCTCAGAGAGTGTAAGTCACTTGCATTAAAAAGTGGTAGAGGTGGGTCTCTGAGGCCAGAGTCCACGTTTTGTTAATCATTTGGCTGCTGGGACACATGTCCTTGTGCATCCAGCTTTTTCCCTATTGAGAATTACTTCTTTGGAATAAATTCTCAGGAGTGGGATAGTTGGGTCAGAGGGTCTGGATGTGTTAACCTGGCTAAGTTTTGACTCTTGTTCACTACCTCTCCTGCCACAGCGCCTGCCTCCAGCACCCTGAAGATGCCAAGTGATATGTCCTCCTTTACCAGGTTGGTGATGGCTGCTGCACGGTGAGGCTAGGGCACATGTGCTGTCCTGCTGAGCTGGCCACTTGTCTGAGGACCTCTTTAAGACAGTCATTTTTGCCTCTCTGCCAGCTGTCTTCAGGGTTGGGCCTCTGCGTCTTGTGAAACCACTGGGCAAGATGATATAGTGCCAGCAAAGGGGGCTTTGTCCTCTAGCATCTGTGAGTCTGGTTCCCAGAATCCCCAGGCTCCTCAGCAGATCTGGCCGTGTGTGGATCGGAGGCACCTCTTCCCCAGCATTAGCTGTGACTTGACCCAAGTAGCGATGCGGGACTGCTCTCTGCATTTCATAAAGGAGTTCCTTTTCATAGTCTGTGCTGCCCATGCCAAGTTGGGAAGAGATGTCCGTGTGGTCTGGGGCTGCAGGCGTTGGGACTGAGAGCCCTTTGCTGAGGAGCGGGACCATCCTGGCCCGCTGGTCGGTGGTTCAGCGCCAGGAGGGCTTGTTTTGTGCATTGCTGTTGCCTTCACCAAGCAGCCGTGGGAGAGTGCTCCCCAGGCAGCTCCCTCTTAGGAACCACGCTGGATACTGGGTAGCCTGCTGCGACCTGGGAACTCCTCGTTTCAGTCCCACGACAGGGCAGAGAGAACTGGGCCGTTATCTTTCAGTCCCTTTCTGGCCACTTGGAGGTGTGGGGAGCAGCAGTCTCCAGGAGGTGAAAGCTGGCTTCTTTCCTTTTTCCTTCATGCTTTGCGTAGTTCCTGCATCCAGAAACCCTGCAGGTCCAGAAAAGCTGAAGAAGAGGAAAGGAACAGCAAGTGACGTGGCTTGAAGGGCTTGCCAGTAACTCCTGTGGTGAAAACAGTTTGAGCTTGAGGCTTCACTTCTGGTACCTGAGGAGCTGTTGATTCAACTGGAGATGAGAAGGATTTGCCCAACCAGGGGGAAGAAACCTCAGCCCCTGACATTTCTGTCTCCAGTGCTTGGAAGTGAAACAGGGATAACCGCTAGGTTAACACCACGGCCATCCCAGGAAGCGGAGGCATCAGGACAATGAAAGCCGTGCTTCAGTATTTCTGTTCCATGTGACTTTTGTGTCTTCCTGCTTAGAAGTGGAAGGATTATTGACATTGACTCTGCTGTGCAAGGCTCTTGGTACCAGTCTGAGCCCTGGAGGTAGAGGTCCCTGGAAAAGTGATCACTGAAGATGGAGCTGTGAGCCCTTCCTTATGGCTTCACAATACTTGTGTGCAAAGGTATTTTTAGATTTGGCTTAGAACCTATCCTCCAGAGCAGGCTCCCTTCCCTTCCATACTTTAGAATATTTCCAGCCAAGGTGATAAATAAGGCAACTCAAATGTGACTCTTCAGTATCTGTAGGCAGGCAGGGCCCACAGCATGCCGTGGCTGGACTTGTGATCCAGGGTCCTGACCCATGGTGCAGCGTGTATCCAATCCAGGCCACCTGCTTTCAGTCCAGGAGCCTCACCTCCAGTATGAGTGGCAGCCAGGAGGGAGCACACAGTGTGCAGCAGTATCAGACAAGGCAGATTAGGGTGGTACAGGCAGGGCCGGGGGATGTATACGGTAGGAGTGGAGAGGGCATCTTATACACCATACCCTACCTCCCTGACCTCCTGCAGAGCTGGTCTCAACAGTGATTCACACAAAATTAGGCCACATTCTTGCATTAGCTGGTAAGTGACTGCTTTCTGAAATTCAGGAGGCATTTAGTAGTTTGAGGAAGATATGAAATCTGAAAGACATCCATGGGCCAGGGGTTTGATAACTTCACAGGTAGGATAATAACACACCAGTAGGAACTAAGGACAGTAAGACTGTGAGACTATATAAAGCTTTTAGGAATTCTTTAAGACAAGTTCCTGAACAACCGACTTATGATTTAGGAGTGCAGCTGAGTTAGTGCTGGATGGGCTGCTTTTGAAAGATGTTGGCCCAGCATGTGCTGGGGCCAGAGGAAAAACTAATGCGTTGTCTTGCATTTGTGTAAATCCTAGTGTGCTTCCCGTGGGTGGTTTTCTGAGGCTTGGGTTGTACACCTTGAAGAATGCCAAAACTGGAGGAAAGGAGTTGAGAGAACACTGATTCTTCTGTACCGTGGAGGGACAGGCTAAACGGGGAAGTGTTTATTAAAGTCTATAGAATCATGTTCCCCAGTTCTATGCTTCTCCAGCCACACTTCTTGAAGTGTGAAAAGGAAGCTTTCCTCTATCACATAGCAGACCCAGGGTCCGTAGCTTCAGAATGTGATGCTACTGACTGAAAATGTAGAAGGATCAAGAGGGCTTTAGTTAAGTTCTTGGGTGACAGATGTGTGTTGATGCCCTATGGAAGATGTCCTTGTGCTTTGAGAAGAGGTCACTGATAGAGGAAGACCTTCTGTTTGTTCTTGGGCCCCACCACCAGAACTGTCTTGGGCTAGGTGGGTTATAGAGCTGAGCTGCTGTGATGGTTCTGTTCTTACATTAGCCAAAACAATTAAAAATAAAAATAAAAACAATTCTTCAGCTTGTTTTCAGTTGACTTCTTATGTTTATTGTGGTAGCCACACATTGAAGTGGCCCAGAAAATAAAAGCTAAAATATTGTTGTACTGCCAATGATCATCTTACTGATGCCTGGTGCCATGAGGTGGGTACTGTAATTCCCTTTTTACAGGTGAGGAAACTGAGACACAGAGAAGTCCCACAGCAGGAAGTGGCAGAAGCAGGACTGAACCCAGGCAATCTGATGCCAGTGTCTCTCTTCTACTCTGTGCTGTGCTGGGGTTCTGAGATGGGAGACCGGAAGTGGAGATTAGCACAGGAGGTGAGGAGATGGTGACTTGGCCTTCATGTGACCCCTTTCAGTTTACTTCCCACCAGACCTAGAGTGATTGCTGCTGTCCTGCTGGGCTCTTGGATGGGCCTGAGTCAGTAGGTGGGGGTACCCTGCCCTTGGTCCTGAGAGATTGAAATCCTTTTGCATATCCTATACCTCTACCACCCTCCAAAAAATAAAGACTTAGAGATGGATGAAATTCCAACCTCCACATTTTTTGTGGACTTGTATCCAAGGGAACCTTCCTTCCTATCCTTAAATTCCAGGTCCGTACATGTAGCATTGGAACCCCCATGGGTGGAAGCTATAGTTCTGGTAGACTGCTTGGAGGGTCTGGTACGCAGGACCTCATCCTGTTACCATCCTTGATAGAGACCTGATGTGTCCATTCCCTCACTTTCAGCTCTGGCCTCACTGACTTGGTTGAGACAGGTGAAGTGAGAGATCAGGATTAGATTGCAGAACAGGGGCAAGGCCATAGCAAAGTATGATGCAAAAAAAACTTTACCTTCTTATCTCCCTTTCTAAAACAAGTTTTAGTCAGGGAGCAGAAACTATTCATCATCCAAATTAGCTCTAAAAGGCAGTATTCTCTCAATAGGTATTTTCAGTGACAGGGAGCCTGACAGTTTCTGCTACTTGCCTCATGACATCAACTGACTTGGAATTGCCAGGAACCGGTTTTGATCCTGTTGTCACAGGGTTTTTTCCCAACTATTTGTGAATGGTCGATTTCTGTCTTTCAGTTCAAATTCTGAACACAGTGGGTTGGTTACCACTTATGAGTTGGTTC